TCATATATGAACAATAAAGTATAAGTATTAAGAATATTAAGAATAATGAAAAAGAAAAATTGAAATATGATTATGAAATAAGAAGGAAAACGAAATATATTTTGCTATGATTAGTGATACTAAATACTATCATCAACATTTACTATTCACTGAAAGGTTTAAATCGTTAAATATATGTCATATATTTTATTTCCATGATATATTAGGATAATACAACGATGAGTGTGAAAATGTTGACAAATATTAAACGATTTAAATCTTTCCATAGAGAATGAGTGAATATCAGTAATAAATAGCAGTCATAATATATGGAAATTGGTCTATTTCGATTAGCTTACATCTTTTTTGAAGACTTTTTATAATCTTCATCAATAATATTTACAACTCTCTCGTCTTTCCATATTGTTATGCATAATTTTTAAAAGGATGAAAACTTGTAAAAGAGAAAAAAAGGAAGATAAGTAGAAAGAGGAAAAAAGTAAAAGAGTATCCTTATCAAAATTGATAAAGAAAATAAACAAAAGAAATGAAAATAAACCTAAATCGTTGCAATCTTCACTTTTTCATTCCTATTGTTCTGATCTGATTTGTTATTTTAGGTGAAAAAAACAGTAAAACTGGAGGAAATTATGAAGTGCAATTATATTAATTAATGGTTAATTAGTTTCATAAATTATAGAAAAAATTAGTAATAGTTTGCATTCATTTTGTAAAATGGTACGGATAACTATTCCCATCTAATCATTCAGAATATTATGTCATCTTTCGTAGCGCATTCAAATGAAATACATTATGCTACATATTCCTATAATGCATGCTTTAGATGAAATTATTAAATTATTAATACTTGATTAATGGTTTGACCCATATGATCGTTTAATTGCACAAGTAAATAATGATGGAGCAGCGCCGAACATTCTAAACTTTTCAATTCTGAATATATGCATGATATGACATCAACTGTGCGCAAGTGAAATTTTAATTTTAAAATTTCGAAACAAAGATTGTAAATAGATTTGTATATAAATTTGGATTCGAATAACTTAACCATCACCTGACAAATTACTTAATTTAAAATATTTGATTGGCTTTGAAAGCTGTGCCATAAATAGCAGACGATATTGCTCGATCCGACAGATGCATGAAGCCAATAGCAACGCCAGATGTTAGTTTTCTCGTATTTCGATTCAGCATAAAATCTGTTTGCTGGTGCAATCGATCATTTCAACTCTTATTTCAACTTCTTTATTATTAGACTCAGATATCAAATGCCCATTAATCCATTTTTCATTTTTTATCAAAACCTTCCATATCAAATTTTAAATTCCAATACTATGCACTGACTTACAATCTAATCTGATGAAATGGATGTTGCAAACTGACAGTGCAAACATTTAAAATATATTTTGCAATAGGATGCGATCTGATAAGAGTAAAGAGTGATATGTGAAGATGAATAACATTTTGCAGCCAAAGAATAACATTTTCAAAAAACAAATAACATTATGAAAAAGGTTAGCGGAAAGAAGAAAAGATTTTTGCAAATGCACTTGACCTTTCAAGTAACAGCACTTCTGTAAATTAATTAGGAGTATATACTGCATATTACTTAGTTGTAACAATAAGCAAATTTGACAGGAAAACGAAATTTTAAAGGCGAAAAGTTGAATTATCAATTTTTTCGAATAACAATAATTAAGAAAAAAGTTGCGACAATGTGCAAACTACACTACAAAAATTATATTGGAAAGAATGCTTCATTTATTGCCATTAACGGAAAGAAAAATTAGATTCAGTAGACGAAAGGAGCCAGTGGTCAACCTCACCGATCGCAGATGGGACGGACATAGCTGATGAAATGACGACAACACCGCCGCCTTCCAACTCCTCCCCCTCCATGGCGTTCAATCATCTTCATCTCTGTATGAGACTCATCAATATGATATGCAACATTAACGTCCTAGTCTTGTACCAATGTCAGTTAATAGCTTACCTAGTGGGGGGAGGCTAAACGTTAGTCCTTCATAAGGACATTAATTAGTAACTCTTTCGATGCCAAGAAACGGATAATTAATGGAAACTTAAGTTGATATCTAAAGCGAACTGATTAAATCGCGTACTTGAAGTCCACTCTGTTCAGCCTAAAATTTTGAATCATTTAATCATGAATTCAGTGTTTTCATCATTTATTTACAATAATAGATATTAGTGCTTATTTGAGGTTAGCTAATAATTTAAATTAACTATAAATTAAATCAGTTCATAACTCCAAATTTTTTTGTTTACTTGGAAAGATTAGTAATTGCATTATATAATTTTGAGTATCTTATTTGTTATATCCATTTCAACAATTAATTTGAATGGTTTATTTTAGAATCGAATAAAAATAGAAATAATACTTTGGATAACAAATTAACAATGTTTTCAGAGTTAAAGAATAAAAATAAAAGAGAATAATTCGTCGCTATTATTGTTATTAAAATAAAACAGAGTACATTATTGGAGCTATAAATCATCGCATATCATAACAGATATTTCACTCATCTTCATTCCTAATTATATTTTTGTTTTAACCATTTTTCATATACAAATTCCATCATTTCTTCATACTCTCTTTTGCTCATTAATTCATTCCATCTACAATATTTAATTATATTCGAAGTACAGGTACGATTCATATTATATGATCAAAATAGTTAAGCAAATGAAAATTCTGAAAGTTTTTATAGCAACAATTAGTCAACTAAATACTTAAATTGTGCCTTTTAATCTGTTCATAAATTATGTTGTTGTCAGTAAATTGAACGGCTCATGTTTTATTTATTTATTTATTTATTTGCATGCTAATTTACTAATTCCATTAATTTAAATGGTCGTTTGTCTCATTGTTTGTTTATTTATTTACTGTATGTGAAACTTTTCTCTTATTTCAGCTATAAACTCATAAAAATTAATAATTCAAAGAGATAATTTAACAGAGAAGATAATTTTGAATTTCAAAATTAAATCGAAATGTTTTGTGAACATTAAATGGAACATTAAATCGAACTTTATTTTTGTAAATTCTACTAATAAATTATGATAATCAAAATTATAATACATCATATCATTTATAAATGATTTGTGAACCAAGTTTTTATTTATTTCTCGTTATAGGATCAAAAGCTTCCTCATTTGTTCATACATATCAATTTGATTGCAATTTTAGAAGTTTAATCTTTCACAAATAATAGAAAATACCCATTATTCAGCAATTTTAACGTATTCAATTACGAAGTTAATAATTATTCAGCAATTCTTATTTGGTATTGATTTTTGAAAAATCAAAAAGACCTAATCAAAAATATAGACAAAGGAAGAAAATGAGAAATGACAAATTTCATACTATCAATAAAGCTATAAAATATTCAATTCATTTGATCAAAATAACGAAATTCATTAATTATCATTTACCATGGTAACGTTTGATTTACAACTATATATTAGCCAAATAATTTATGGATAAGTACATTTTACTGTAGTAATTATTGATTTATAAGGTATTATTAGGGAATAGCAAATTAGAAAATTGTTGAATTATAACTTTCTTTTTGCATCAGTAAATAATAGCAATAAATGATTTTAAGGTTTGAGTAATTAGAGAGGAAGAAATTAATGAGAAATGTGCTTATTATGGAAATGCTAGAATTTCAATGAATGAAATGAAAATTCAGTGAAAAATATTTTGTCATTTTTGAAAAGATGTACTTTTGATATGAATTCGTAATAAATGATATGGTAATTGTTTTAATTTCTCATTTGGATACCTTTATAGTTTGACAAATTTTAGCAAAACTTAATTATTAATTATAAAACAAAAGTGATTTTTATAAATTAAGCAACATGTTTATTTTATGGAAAAGTTGGAGAAAAATTTTTAATTTGAAACATAATTTATTGCAAAATTTTAAAAGAATATAAAACAATATAGTTTCAGCGAAGTGTTGCATTTTATAATTTTACTGAAATTCGTAAAATTTTAGCGATAAAATGAAATTGAAGGATTTCATCAAAGAAATTTAAAGAAGTAAGCTAATTTAATGAATGAAAAAAAAAGTGCTAATTAATTCCTGAAATTCAAATGATAAGTAGCTAATAAGTGCTACTTCAAATATTCACTGAAATAAATCTTTTCATCTTCAACAGACTCTTGAAAGTATACTTTGAATATAAAAATTTTTTCCTCTTGAAAATTCATAAATTTCTTACAGCAATTTTCATATGATTACATTCATTCATAGCATTCATTCATTTCGTATTTTTATAATTTCTCTCAGTGAAAAAAGAAATATCAATTTTTTCTGAAAATAATATTCATAAATGATATTTCAATTACATTATAATTTGTTTATTATGTATTATGAATGATACATTGTAAATGGATTGTATTTATAATTATAATTCTTTTCGTTCCAAATTATAGCATTAAATATCAAATTTAATTATGAATTGTAATTCCAACTTAAAACTGTTAATATAACTTTAATAGTAAATATTAAATATTAAATAGTAAATATTAGACATACATTAAATATAAATATTAAATAGTAAATAGTAAATATTAGATATTGAATATAAATATTAAATATTAAATAGTAGATATTAAAATTTTATTTCAAACTTCTTATCAGTAATTTTGATAATAATTAATACAATTTCAAATCTTCAGCAATTATAATATATTAGTTGAATGAAGTTGGATGAAATAAATGGAAATAATATACCAGAAGATATTCAGAAAATAATCAAATATAACCTAAATTATTATATGGCCTCACCTGTCGTATAATATTGCTTTATTAACACTGAAGAGTATTATATTCAAATTTTGAGAATATTAACAATCTTATAAAGTTGAATAAATTTAATTTGAATAAAGCTAATAATGAAAATTATTACAAAATGAAATAATCAATGGAAAAAATGTTCATTGTAAGAAATAATAAGTTGTGGTTGGCACGATGGTTGACAAAACTGTTCGATATGTATCTTTTTGTTTATTTCCATATTACTAATAAAGAATTTATCATCATTTTCAACTTATTCTTTTGCTTAATCTTCCTGCTAATTAAATATCATTCACTAATTATTCGTTATTATTATCGTTATCATTATTACTATTAGTATTTCAAACATTGCTGAAATTAACAAGGATATTATCCTTATCCGTTATCGGATCATTTCATTTTGATAATTTTGAAGTATAATTTTAATATTTGTTAAAGCATTAAAAATTTTGAAATTATTATGATAGTAATTATTTTTCCTATTCGATAAGATCCCATATTTTCATCATTTTTTTAATATAAATCACATGTCTATATTTTATACAACAGAAATTCTAACATAAATAAAGGAAGAGTTTGATTCATGATAAATGATATGAAGCATAAAAAAATTTGTAATCAATATCAGTTTGTAATATAATATCATCATTTCATTATCAAGTGATGCCAAATACTAAAATTAATTCCTGATAATTAATAATTGTTTTATCTAAATTATACAAATAATTAAAGGACAAAAAAAGCAAAAGTATCGAATAAGAATAAATGTTTGTTCATTGTAATTAAAACATTTATTTTCAAATATATTTTTTAAGAATCATTTATCAAAATTTTCATTCAGGAATATTTTCATATTAATTCCGATTTTATTATCTTCGATTTTCAGACCGGACGATCTCGAGTACATCGTATGCTACGCTTTATGTTCCGTGTAAATCAGTGCTATTACTGCTTAGCATTTGAATGCATTTTTGCATTTCTAATGATAATTTTAATTATATTATTCTATAAATCAATTGGCACAAAAATTGTATGCAATTTAACTCAAAATTATTTTATTATTTTTAACTCATTAACTCATTTATTAGAAATTTGAAATTATTTTATTCAAATTTATTAACTATCTCGTTTTTTCTTTCTTGCATAATTAATGAATGAATTTATTAATTAATGACATTTTTTGATTAAATTAGAGTAATCAAAGTGAAAATGTATAATTTTGTAAAATATTCATTTTAATTACAATTAAATTTTACACTGAATGATATAAAATTAGAATTAAATTCATTTAATTTTATGCATAATAAACAATAATAGCAAATAATAATTTCTTTATTTTAATTTCGACTTTAATTAATTAGCGAATAATTTAAATTTAGTTTGCTATAATTTTAGGCAGAAATTGGCCGTCTTAAGAAAGAAAATCGAATTTTAGATGAACAAAAAAATATTGCACCATTTATAGAGTGTACATACAAGAAACAAAAAGAATTTTCAACTGTTTGTGTTTATTGTATTTTGCATTTATTATAAAATCATTTTTTAATTAAGTAATGCTGAAATTTACGTATGATACGTGGAATCTAAGTCTAATTTACGTCTAACATGTAGAATTTACATCTAATTTACGTGTAACACGTGGAAATTACGTCTAGTTTACGTCTAATATTTCCTTTAATTCTCTTATTTACATTTACATCATATCATAATATAATTTAAAATGATACGATGCATTCTTTTATTATTCAAAATTTCCATATTTAATTTTTAATGTTTTCTTTTTTTACCATTTAGCTGTCATGTTTTATGTTTTTCAAGTTTTTAAATTTATATTTTAGCATTTTTTCTACGATTAAATTATTAAATAATTAAATTGCCTTTTTTTTTAAAAAATTGAAATGATAAAGGTATGGAAATTTAATGAAAATGAAATTGATGATATTATGAAATGATTTGAATTGAAAATAGTTCGTTATCATTTTAGATTAGTTGTGGTGAGGATGATGATTCATTTGCTTTTATTTCACGATTTCATGAAAGTGCTTCGACGAATTTTCGATGTGTTGATCGTATGGATGTGGTATGTATATGATGTCAACAAGAAATGACAATAGAGAAATTTTAATTGTTACGCAAACTTTTAATTATTAAACAAACAACAACAAGCAAAAATTGAATTTAATTGATATTTTATTAAAATTGAAATTTTTTTTCTCTTATTAACAAATTAATGGTAATTAATTATTTTTTATCGATTTAAACAAAGAAAAATAATCATATCAAATTTAATTTTTATATTCATTTAAATTTGTTAAATTTAACCAATTAAACATTGATAATTGTTTTTTTTTTAAATGAGTATAAAAAAATGTAAAAGTATTACATTTAACTTTTATCATATCATTTCTTATCATCATTTAACTGATATCTATTTTTTATTAAAACTTATTTGATCAAAAAATTGTTGCAAGCAAAAATGGCCAAAAATAATTAATCAAAATCATTAAAAATTGATAATACCATTGTTTCTATAAGTTTCAAAAAATATTCGATTGATTTTTTATTAATAAATATTTATGCGATAAATATGAAAATTTACAGTTACCATGTTTATCAAATGATGATATATCGAAATTTAACAGCACAAAGTTGAAAAGTTTCCCTCAATGTGCGGGTGTAAATAATATAAGACTTAAAAACACTATTACACAAGCTTCTTCAATTGTGGTCAGTTTCTTCTTTGTCCCTTTATCAATGAATATAATAATGATTAATATCGGCTGTACTAAAGTGGCAAATATTTGAGTACTTAATAATTGCTAAATTGGTATACATAATAATCAAATAATTATTTCATTAAATTTTAATAGTTATTGTTAAATTCTTATAAATGAAAAACAATAATGTATTGATTAAGCTCCGATTGTTTGTAACATTTAAAATTTAGTAATTTAAAATTATCAATTAAAATAGCATGTATTTAATAGCAAAATAATTAATTCAATTTACAATAAAATATGCAAATATAACAAAACTTTAATTTTGCATAATGTTTACGGTAAACAGTAATAATTTGATAATAAGCTAATTAATGCAAAGGAAAGTAAACTATAATAAATTGGATGAAATTTGTTAGCTCACATTATACGTATATTTGCATTTATTTAAGTAAGATAACCGATTGATATGATATATTTTATTCAAAAAAGCATATTTATTTAAATAAGATAATTTTGCATAATGTTTACGGTAAACAGTAATGATACGGTAAACAGTAATAAGATTAGCTACCTCAATTCTTTAATTCATACCAATCAATTTTATCATTTTGTAAAATTTTAGGCACCATCAATAGATATAAAGGAACATCAGGGTAGAATACTTCGTCCCAAAGATTTTTTGGTACAATGTCCTAAATGTGCAATTAATAGTTTCTTTGGCTGGTTTGATTTCAATAAATTATTTTTAAATTTATTTTCCATCAAATGAATTTTTCTAATTTTCAATATAATGATAATTTGAAAAAGGAAAATTAGAATTTTTTAATTTCTCAGAAAATTACCTTTTTGATAAATTATTTGAATTAATTTAATAAAATAGCACGAATTAAAGAGAAGGGAAAAAGGAGAGAGAGAGAGAAGAGAAGTGAAGAGAAAGAAAAAGAAATTAAAATTTTTAAATTTAAACAATCAATGAGAAAATGCTAAGAAATTCTATTTTCTTCTCTTAAAATACCTAATTTAATCTAAAACAAAAAAACTTTTTTCATTTGTAATTATTTCAAATTTTTTTAAAAAAAAAAATTATTTTCTAACATTTTAAATTAAAAGGAAAAAAAGATTTACATTTAATTGTATTTCTTTTGTTTTAATTTATAGGCGAGATATTGGTGATATTAAAAGACTTTGTGCACGTGAAATTAAAACGTATTCACGTGGTTGGCCACAACATGCACGTTTCTGTGATGAAGAAGATATACATGATGAGCAAGATTTTTGTCGACTTCATGATTTACTTCTTGAAAAGCTTGGCGGTGAAATGGAAGAAAGTAATGAATTAAAATTTGTTGATTCAAATCGATGAGAAGAAATCATTCTAAGAGCTCAAACTGCAAGTATCACAAAATTATATTTCATTGAATTTTTCTTCTTTCTTTTCTTTTAAATTTAATGTAATTAATTATTCTAAATTGTTTTTGTTTATTTTTTTTTGCTTTTTTGCTTTTCTTTTTTCAAACAAACAAAAGAAATGATTGAAATGATAATATTAATTAATTAAATTAAATTAATTTTGAATTTGATTTTAGTCAAATATTATTTTCAAAATAAAGGAAGAAAACGAAGATTAAAAGGTATTATAGTATTATAATAAAAGGGAAAACTATTCGCAATGTTTCCTTCAAATTCATTTTCTCTAAAATTTCATATTATTTATCACTCACATATAAATTACATTTTATCATTTCACTTCTATCCGTCTTCTTCAACATTCATACAAAATATCAAATGAATAATTCGCCATTCTCGCCTATCGATACTTTTAATTTTGACATATATAATAATTAATATTTGATTGATTAGTAATTGTTTTAATATTTCAAAAAGAATATCATTTACAATTTGATTAGTTATATTAACTACAAATAATAGTAATTAATAATAAATAGTAATAATAATAAATAAATAATGCGGCAATAGCAAATTGAAATGTTTCCCTTTCTTTCTTACTTCCGTATTATCTTAAAATTATTCTCTTTACGTAATCTTATTGGATTTGATGTCAGATAAGAGGAAGAAAGAAAGTTTTATTAGGCCTCAAAGAAGCCTTATAGTCTTAGGCCCTTTTACATGCAGTTGCCATTTTTGCCAATGGAATTTGGCACATTGCCTTTTCCATTTCATTTATTCATTCATTCATTCATTCCCTTCACTTTTTCTCTTCATATATACATGTGTATGTGTGTATGTGTGCATGTGTGTATGTGTATACGTGTGTATGTGTGTATGTGCGTGTATGTGTGTATGTGTATGTTGAAGGCAATCACAAAAGTTTATGTATAAAGTTTTAAATGATAAGAAAAAATTGAGGAAGTGAAGGATTTATGCTTTCATCGAAATTTAAGACTTGTAATACAAGAAAAATTGTGAAAACGTTAAAGTGATTATTTATAACTTAATTAATGATTGATAAGAGTTAATTCATTTATATCATTTAATTAATAATTGATAAAAACTAATTTACTCATATCGTTCTCATATATCACACTACGAAAATTATCAGATATCATTTAAACACAAATTATCAGATATCATTTGAACAGAACTCTTTCTTTCCTTTCTCTTTATTTCATAAACTTTTAACTGCATAACAATTATCACTATATATTCGTTAATTTGATAATTTTTATTATGAAATCAAATTAATGCTTATTTTTATCAACAATTTTGCTCCACCAAATTAAATAAATGATAATTAATTAATATTAATTTTTATAAACAATATTGATTTTTCAAAAACTAATCAAAATGATATAATCTATAATTTTTTTCCTCTTTTTTCCACTTTACAAAATAATTTTGCTTGTATTAAACGATCGAATATGTGATATATTGAATAAAGATGAAATGGAAATGTTGCCTAGCGACGACCGCAATTTAAGGCCTGCCTCACGTTCAATGCCTTGAAATTTAGTTAAAAATATTCATAAATATATTTTCCATTTATATGAATTGCACTAAATTTCATCCCCTATATAAATATACATATATATTTTTTTAAAATTTCGCACCAATTATTTCAATAAATAACTCGCAAAATTAGTAGCTTAATAATAAT